GGTTGTGGTTGTAGGAGTGGTTGTGGTGGTAGGGGTGGTTGTGGTGGTAGGGGTGGTTGTGGTGGTTGTGGGGATGTTAGTGGTGGTGGAGGTTGTTGGGATGGTAGGGATGGTGGTGGTGGAGGTTGTGGTGGTAGGGGTGGTTGTGGTGGTAGGGGTGGTGGTAGGGGTGGGGTTGTGAGAGTGGTAATGTAGTGGCAGTGGTAATTGTAATAATCATGATGATGTTGGTGTGGGAAAGTGGGTAGAATTGGGATGGTGGTTGTGACCGGTGGTGGTCTCGGTGGTGGTTGCATATTATGGTTATTAAATGGCGGATGTATTCTGATGGTCAACCTCGCCAACTCAAGATGTTTCTGATTAACATTTGATCAATCAATGTTTTTTCCTCGACGATCAACTTAAATTAAGGTCAACCAATCACGTGAATTCTTTACATCAAGTCGAGTGTGATACATAATATTATTGGACGTTACTTTTGTGTATAAGTTTAAATCAACCAATCAAGTGAATTCGTACATCTAGTCGAGTGTAACATGATATTATTGGACATGACTTTTGTGTAGTACTTTTAAATCAACCAATTAGGTGACGTTTTACATATTTGTTTACGAGGAACAGTCATAAGAAGCTCTACTGAGTCAGGTTTGCTCCGGGACCCAGAGTGGCTGCCCCGCGAGGCGTCTCCTGAAGCACTGCCTCATATATTGTTGTTTATCAGCAGCTGGAGACATAAACACTGAGGGGCTCGTACATCTTACTACGAGGGTTCTCTCTTCCTCCTCCTCCTTCTCCTCCTTCTCCTCCTACACCTCCTCGTCTTCCTCCTCCGCCGCCGTTATTGTTGCCTATTCTTCGTATTTCTTCCCTTTATCACCTGTTGGTTTATCTTTTATTATATTTTGCCGTTTGTTTCATATTTCTTCGTTTACTGCTATCACTTCTCTCGTCTGTTTTTTCTCTCAGCCTATTTATCAGTCATCTCTCTCTCTCTCTCTCTCTCTCTCTCTCTCTCTCTCTCTCTCGCTTAAGATTTAGGAAGGAACACTGGAACTCCTCAAGAGCTTAAATGAGTTGGTTAACAGATGTGGCCCAATTATTTTAACTGGGAGAGGGGGGAACGGAGGAGGCGCTGGGGGTGTTCGGGGAAATATCGTGTGTTAGAGTTACGTGAACATATGAGTCTTGAAGTTTATTATTATTATTATTATTATTATTATTATTATTCAGTGTAAAGGAAATCAGTCAGGCCGGGTTGTGGCACTATACTTGTCACTATCAAGAGGAGGGAGCCAGCGACCAGACCTCTCCTGACACACATTCCTGGCCTCAACCACCCACGGGGGTCGTTGTGGCCGAGCTGCTGCCATCTAGTGTACGGCTGCAGATATATCCTCGTAACTCAGGTGTTTCCTCTCCTTCTCTGTTTCTTGTTCTTCTTTTCTTGTGTATTTATATTCCTTGATATTTTTTCTTCATGATTTCTTCCAGTTATTTTTTTTAGTTGTTTCCAAGATATTATTCGATACTATAGTACTTACCACGTACACATACACTCAGATAAAACACCACTTACCACGTACACGGACACTTAGATACCACTTAGATACCAAAGTACTTACAACGTACACAAACACTCAAGGTATAGGTTTAAGAATTTTTACTGAAGAAGCGAGTTGTGACATTTCCTGAAGGTGCAAGAGTCAGGTGCTTGTAGGAGGCCAGGTCGGGTTGCAGTGAATCCTACACCCCCTCCCACTCATCCCCTCCCCCACACTGTCTCTCCCCCCTCCTTTACCTCCTCCTCCCACCAGCAGGAAATAGCTGGGGGTCATCAGGGCGTCACTTACAATCGAGACCTGTGCTTGACCACTACTTCTTAGCCTCAACGACCTACCTGACGAAGACCATGGTCGTGTACGGATCTCCTGCGTCATGGGAAGCGGATATTTGCCCTTTTGGTTAGGTTAGGTTAGGTTCGGTTCGGCTTGGCTTATTTTGGTCATGAAAATTGGCTTTTTATATGTATATATTTTTGTATGTGTAACTATGTATCCCTGTTTGTATTAAGGAGTTGTTTATTAAGCACACACGTCCTCCTGCTTCTTAAGATCTCCGCCGTGCCCCGTCTATTACCCCGTTAGGTCTCCGTGCCCCGTTTTTTTGCCCCATAAAAGACCCATACCTCGTTCTATTGCTCCATTAAATTACGTGCCCCGTTCTCTTGCCTCATTAAAACACCCGTGCCCCGTTCTCTTGCACCATAAAACACCCGTGCCCCGTTCTCTTGCCCCATAGAACACCCGTGCCCTGTTCTCTTGCCCCATAAAACACCCTGTGCCCTGTTCTCTTGCCACATAAAACACCTGTGCCCTGTTCACAAACACCCAGCCCCTTCTTGCCCCATAAAACACCCAAGCAGCCCTGTTCTGTTGCCCCATAAGACACCTGTGCCCTGTTCCTCTTGCTCCCATAAAACACCTGTGCCTCTGGTTCTCTTGCCTGTTAAAACACCAGTGCCCTGTTCTCTTGCCCCATAAAACACCTGTGCCTCTGTTCTTTCCCCATAAAAGGCCCATACCCCTTTCTCTTGTCCCATAAAACACCTGTGCCCTGTCTCTCTTGCCTCGTTAAAAACACCCTGTCTTTCTTGCTCCCTGCTCCCTGTTCTTTGCTCCCCATAAAACACCTGTGCCTCTGTTCTCTTGCCCCATAAAACACCTGTGCCCTGTTCTCTTGCCCCATAAAACAACCCCTCCTGTGCCCTGTCTCTCTGCCCCATAAAACACCTGTGCCCTGTTCTCCCCATAAACACCTGTGCCCCTTATCCATAAACACCCAGTCTGGGCTCCCATAAAACACCTGTGCTCCGTTCTGTTGTTCTTGGTTCCCATAAAACACCCGTGCCCTGTCTTTGGTTCTATAAAACACCTGTGTCTTGTCTTCTTCAGTTCTGGCATAAAACACCTGTGCCCCTGTGTTCTCTTGCCCCATAAAACACCTGTGCCCTGTTCTTTGTCCATAAACACCTGTGCCCTGTTCTCTTCCATAAAACACCTGCAGGTGCCCTGTCTCTTAAAACACCTGTGCCCTGCCCCTTTGCCCCATAAAACACCTGCCATAAAACAAGTTCTGGGTTCTTGCCCCATAAAACACCCGTGCCTCACTACCCCATTAAAACCGTACACCATCCCAAGTTGGTTGTCATGGAGAGCCTGAACTAGCACAGTGGTGTGGACGGCTGGTGTCTCGTGACCGGCGGGTGAGGTCAGGTCAGGTCGTGAGGCGCCAGGGGGTCAAAGGGAATAACAATGTTTTGTGATGGATCTTAAAAGGAGTTACAACGGGTGAGAATAGAGGGATTAGTGTCTTGTGAACCTCTCCTGTAATGGTATAGAACACACTTGGAGTTTTTATTGATGTTTTACCTATAATTCAGGAGGTTATGTGTATATTTTTTATGATAATTGCTTTCGCTGGTAAATACACATAGATTTTGTGTGTGTGTGTGTGTGTGTGTGTGTGTGTTTCTGCAACTCTATTATACTATAAAAACAAAACAACAATGGAGAGCTGAACTCTAGCCTGGAGGTCCACCTTCGCCCGCCTTTCTGCCAGCACGGGCTTGTTGAGGCACTACCCGTGAGAGGCCAAGGTTCTCCCACCAGCCTCCCTCCCGGGTTGGCACAGATGTAACACCCTGACTAACTCTATAGACACAGGTGTATGAGTCATTATTATTACAGGTAAGATTATATTATTAAACAGGTGTATGGCTCATTATTCTTATAGGTAAGATTATATTATTAAACAGGTGTATGAGTCATTATTATTACAGGTAAGATTATATTATTAAACAGGTGTATGAGTCATTACAGGATAAATTTATCTTCGCCTGATTTAAAAACGGAGAAATAGAAAATGGTTAGGTTAGGTTAGTTGTAAATATTTTGTATCTAATTGTATTATTTATCGTTTTCCTTATAACGTATATATAATTTGTTGTGTAGGTTGTAATTATGTGTTCATTTTAATAACACCGGCGAGATGAGTTGCTCAAAGGTCACAGCTCCGCCACTCACCCCAGACAAGTATAAACAAATGTGGTCTGCTGGTCAGTGTAAATTAATATATTTTCGTTTAATTAATGAACTGACAAGAGCCATGAAACATTTACTGATGGCCAAAACATTTACACAATACAAAAAATTATATATTTAACGCCATACATAGTGTTCGTTTAAGACATTTTGTTATTCGTTTAATATTCAATAAGTTTGTCTCTGGATAAATGTAATGTAGGTTCAAGTCATTATTACATCCACGACAACAATAACAACTAAAGTGACCTTGTGAGTACTGTGTGTGTGTGTGTGTGTGTCGTAGTACGGGTCGTCAAAATCCTATATACTGGCTTATAAATGTCCAGACCAATGGGGGGTTAATGACGTGACACTCTCTGGGCTGACTCGTAAACCTTACACCGTACACTAGTATAGGTCACCCGCCCCTCTTAGGCACTTATTTTTGTCCATCTTAGTGTAAAATAAATCGTTTGTGGGTGTAGATACAGTTCATGGTGTTGATGGTGTCAGTTAGTATTTTATTTTGGCTAACGTAACCTGACCTGACCTGACCCTATGCTTGAATAGTTTCGAGAACAGTTTCATTATCGTTAGCCATATACGTCATCTTAATTATGTTGTAAAGTGATGTTAAGTTTATTGATATTTGTGTTCACCGGGGAAAAATACTGACCTGTTTTGTGAGGATAACTCCAACAGGTTGTAAATTTTTACCGAAGCTCATTAACTATACAGATTCCGGTGATTACTAATAAACATAAATGTATGGTGAATAATGATAGAAGGAAATTTACTCGCCGGGTTTAAAAACAATTGTATATATAAATTCAAAGTTTTTATTTCACATTCTAAAAACATTAATAAAAGTATAGAATTTCTTTACAATATATACAGTTAAGATATATACAGTTAGTGGCACTCTAGGCACCGTGTGGAGGATGGCACTGAGGGTCACGGGGAACAGAGGAGGCAGGAGGCGTCCCAGCTATCTCCTCATGATGTCGGCGATAGAGAAGCCGAGTCTCTTCGGCGGTGAGGAGACGACGGGGATCTCTGCTTCTTCAGTCATCGTCTGCATCATGTCGTCGTCGCCGCAGTGGAGGACGTCTAAACTTACTTCTGCGTCAGGAGAAGGGAGCGAGAGAACAACTTGTTTGGCTGGGGAATGCCTGAGGATGGGCGGGGTGGAGTCGTGGGCGTGCTGGGCCTTGTGGACGGCCAGGGTGCGCGCCTGACAGAACCCCTTGCCACACACCTCACACTTGAAGGGCTTCTCCTTGCTGTGGATGTACTTGTGGTCGCGGAGGTGGTCTTGTCTCCTGAAGGCCTTGCCGCAGATGTTGCAGGGGAAGGGCCGCTCGTCCGTGTGTGTTCTCTCGTGGATCAGCAGGTTGTAGCTCTTGGTAAACTCCCGTTGACAATACTTGCAGATGTAGCGCTTCTTAGGTCGGCTGAGGCGGCCTCCAGGAGTCAACAGGAGACGGTTGAGGGCCAGGTCGCCAGCACCCAGAGCCGCCCACGGCAGCTGACCCAGAGAATGGTAATTGTGCAGCATCCCCATCACCCTGGGGTCCACCCCTAGAGGGGGCATCGGCTGCTTAACACTGCCACCGCTCACTGACGGAAGGAACGGTAGTGACTGGAACAGAGGTAAAGGTGGAGGGAGATAGAGCGGAGTGTAGCCCTGGGCCTGAGGGTCGGGCTGGGGGACTAGCACAGGTGAGCTCTCCATGCTGCTCAGGTAGTCAGTTGTAGTGACTTCCGAAGGTCGCACGTTTTATATGTCGGCGACATTCCCTGCGGCGACATTCCTCCCAGTGTCCTAAAATACGAGAGATGATTGGCTGGAAGACAGATAGTCCCGCAGTTGCCAATGTAACGCGCTTGGTGATTGGCTTAGGAGGAGGGTGAGGGCGGGGCCAACGTCGTGACGGGGGCGGTAGTAGTGCTCACCGAGTCTACTGATTTAACCATCAAAAACATTATTATATTTCCCAAGTCAAAATATCACCCACATACCTCTTCATCTTACAGCCTTAATACTTCATTATCTGACAGTAACAAATGTTGAGTTTGCTTTATGTTTTTATTACTCACACGCGAACTGTAAGATAATAGTCCCAGTGATAATATTCAGTACAATAGACTCCCCCCCCCCTCAAACAAAACAGAAACACATTAATACAAGATACTGTGCTTTCAACTTATTTTACACAGTTTAGTTTAAGGAAATTTAATGTGTGGAATTACTAGATTTTTGTGTGTGTAATTTTGTGGTTTTTTTAAGATTTAAGACTGAGGCATTTAACTCTAGCAGAGGGAATATATAGGAGAGTGTTCCCCCAGAGCTGCCAGCCAACAAACAGGCATGTTATATCATCCTTAGGCTTCACTGCAACCCATGTCATGACCTCTGTGTACACCTGTCCTCTACCTGTAAATGGTCACCTGTACACCTGTCCTCTACCTGTAAATGGTCACCTGTACACCTGCCCTCTACCTGTAACTGGTCACCTGTACACCTGCCCTCTACCTGTAAATGGTCACCTGTACACCGCCCCTCTACCTGTAGAAGGTCCACCTGTATACAAACGGCGGGGTGGCCGATGTTTGTCCAGCTTCCACAAACAATGGCCGCCGCCGCCCTCTCGTTCGTGACACAGTACAGGAAATCCGCTCTCTTTATTGATCCACCTCAGCTCAGAAATTATAAACGTTTTCAGCGTCGGTAACATTGTGCCGGTTCATGGTGACCAGCCAACGAAACTTCTATCATAAAATTACGAAATAAAAGAAACACTTCAATTAACAAAAATGGCATGTTGTGTTTTTATATAAGTGATGCAAATATTGACCTTCAAAAACCAATTATATTTTGCCAAATAAGTCATAAATGTGTAAAAATATGAACGTTAGGATCTTAAACAACAACAACAGTACAGAGACAAGTCACTATTTTTCACTACCAGACGAATATAAATTAGATATATACATGTCCCCAGCTGTTTGGGGGTAAACACAGAGCTAACATTTGTTTTTGACCGTCAGGACCTGCTTGTCTAGCCCCCAAACCCTCCCGTCCCTCCACACACACACACCCTCCCGTCACCTTTCCTTTCCCATCTGTCCTGTCCTCCATGTCTTCTCCCCAGTTCCCTCTTATCTCTTCCTTTCTTCCAATCCTCTACTTTGTTTGGTCTCCTCCCTATAACTTCTATTCATCTTGGCCTTCCCGATACAAAATGAACTCCCAATAAGACTCCTCAATGTCTAGACAACGTGAAGGAACGTTTGTGGTGAGGTGTGTGTCAGGTGCGGAGGCGGGGTGGTGGAGGGCCCTCAAGCAGCACTTGAGTCGGCCTCAAGGGTGGTGAGGGTCGCTCTCCACACCTCTCGTCTGGTTGATATAGTAAGTTATATGGTGATCAGCCCTTAACTGCTGTCTTTTACACACACACACACACACACACACACACACACACACACACACATAACAATCGTATCTAGAGTTTGGTGTGTGTAATAATAATAATAAGTAACGGTTTATTGAAAGAGCATGGCAGCCGGAAGGCTGAAAATATACAGTTACATAATTGGGGAATGGGTCTCTTGATTTACAAATAATATACAAGTAACATAAGTGATACAAATATGATATATAATAACTAGGTGGGGGAGAAGCTCAAACTACAGGGCATTTCAACATAGTGACAGTGCAAAAAGTAAGCTTGATTGGGAGTGAATACACTGGTTGATTACAAGTTATTGATAATTTTTACAATGGTTGGGATTGGGCTGTTCTTGTAGCGATCAGTTTGTGCTCGTATGGGCTGGATGCGGTAATGGTATCGAACAGCAATTCTCGGGCGAGGGATCTCAGGTGGTAGTAGGAGCCGGTGTCGAGGATAGTGCAGAAGCTTCTCACCAAGTTTGCAGATGAGGTCGTGGTGATGGTCATTGAGAGCCGAGAGGGTCAGTGTGTTGAGCGCATCTTGATATGTGGAGTAGGAAGGGAAGAGAATAATCTTGCATGCCCTCTTTTGCACTTTTTCTAGGTGTTTACAGTGTGGCATTTAGGGAGGAAGTGTGTGTGTGTGTGTGTGTGTGTGTGTGTGTGTGTGTGTGTGTGTGTGTGTGTGTGTGTGTGTGTGTGTGTGTGTGTGTGTGTGTGTGTGTGTGACCCCTGCTTCGACCAATACTTGTGTACACTTAGTTTATATAATTTAAATTTATCTAAGACGAAAATTTTTGCGTGTAGGGGCTGTCTGTCTTGTGTGGTTGGGGGCTGTCTGTCTTGTGTGGTTGGGGGCTGTCTGTTCTTGTGTGGTTGGGGGGCTGTCTGTTCTTGTGTGGTTGGGGGGCTGTTTGTTCTTGTGTGGTTGGGGGCTGTCTGTTCTTGTGTGGTTAGGGGGCTGGCTGTATTGTGTGTGGTTGGGGGGCTGTCTGTTCTTGTGTGGTTGGGGGGCTGTCTGTTCTTGTGGTTGGGGCTGTCTGTCTTGTCTGTCTGTCTTGTGTGGTTGGGGACTGTCTGTTCTTGTGTGGTTGGGGGCTGTCTGTTCTTGTGTGGTTGGGGGCTGTCTGTCTTGTGTGGTTGGGGGCTGTCTGTCTTGTCTGTTCTTGTGTGGTTGGGGGGCTGTCTGTTCTTGTGTGGTTGAGGGCTGTCTGTCTTGTGTGGTTGGGGGGCTGTCTGTCTTGTGTGTGTGTGTGTTTGTCAGACAGCCATGAGGTTAACACATTAGTCATGGAAGTTCATGTAGAATTTGGTCCTGTGAGCACCTCATGCCCAAGCAGCCCTCAGCTCCCCTTCCCTCACCAGTAAGGCACTTCACCTAGCCTTCTCCAACACCCTCATTATAATCAGTAAATCAGTCCGCCGATCGACCTCAAAGAGTCACTGATAAACACTTAAATCCGGCTAATAATCGAGAGATCAGATTATAATCCCATCGGCGTGAAGTGGATTACCCTCAAACCGCCGTACAGGATGATGACCACCGCGATACAAGGTGTCGGAATGTTTAGTTCGGGTCAGCCTGTTTGACCTTGTTGTTTATCTCGTATGATAATGGCGGCGCGGGTCAGATCCTCGTCACTGATAAGGCGAGTGTAAAGCGGAGGCGTGTGCGAAGTGTTCTCTCAAGACCCGACCTTTTGGTGCTTCGTACACTGGTGGTACTGCTCATACCCCCTCGCAGTGTTCATATTATAGTGTCTGTCTTCTTGAAAATATCATCCATGAGAGGTTTTTTAACATATTAGAGTGGAAACCCTTGTGAATTTTTTCTTGGGAGTCGCCTCCCGTTTTCTATGATGCATGTGGAGGCCTGGGGAGGTTCCCGGGGCGGGCCTCAGGTTGACAAGTGTCCACTAATGGCGGGGCCGTCGCACCCCCGCTGGGCCCCGTAGGACACGGAGGGGCCCCTCACCAAGGATAGTGACTCAGCCGCGTTCCCAGCACACTCCTACGCGGCCAGGCTGGTGCTGGGTCCTGAGCCTCCACCTGTCACTGCTAAATCCAGACTATTTTTAGAGTCGCCCATTACCGCCTCTCTGAGCACCGAGTACTGAATAGTGTTGTTATTGTTCAGTTGTCATGATACTCAGAAAACAAAGGAACAAATAAAATACTGAACAAATTCAATGTCTTTAGTTAACGGTGTTTTTTAATTGTTTTGGCGGATGCTGCTTTAAAACTTTCTTAGTAATCTTGAAAATGTAGCTTGATATTATTGTTTTTGAAGGGCAGATGGTGAGGCTGTCGGATATTGCCCCGCCTGTGGTTCACGTCAGCAGTAAAAATCCCTAATTAAAGTTGTTTTCTGCTAAGATTAAGCTTTAACCCGGAATAAATCTTCTGAATGCGACCTTTTAACTCGTAGACAAAAAATACTTCACTCTTAAGACGTATTTCAAAAAGAAAAATGCAAAGTACAACAACAATGACTACAAGTGTATGTCAGGTGCAGAAAAACGGGGTAAAGCAAAACAAGACAAGGATACATGGTTAGCCTGTGATGGTCGTGAGAGTTAAGGGCGACAATCCTTATTTACACCTAGGAGTAGTCGACCTGGTGGCCCGGGAGCGGCGGCGGCAGGAACCACTCAAAACTTTCCCTTTTTCATGGAAATTGTGTTTTTGTCGATAGCCACTACGTGAGGCGACCAACACCCTCCCTCCCTCCCTTTTCCATTATGGTTTTATAATTAACTGATATTTACTTTATTGTGGTTGTTTCTTCTTGCAACTGGGCAGACATAAACTAAAGCACGGTAGTTACGTTCAATAAGGCGGTATAGAATTACACTGCGACTTCACCTTAACTATAAACGTTCACATTTCATCAGTTCGGGGCAAAGTTGTAACGCACAGACTTTACGAATCCAAACCCTGGCGTCCAGTTAACTTCTGTAACATTTTAATGCAAATTAGAATATAATTGGTACAGGTATCTGAGGTGCTCTAGAGGTAAGTTGCTGTGTATTAAGATTACACGACATGTTCTCATTTATCTTCACGTGTGTTCAATGTGTATCAGAAGCATTGATTTTCTTAATAAATTCATTTCGTTTCACAGTAATTTCTAAGTTGATGCCGACGAGCGATACTGTACTCCCATCACCCCTGTTGAGGTCTAAGGAAGGATCGGAAAGACGATATTTATCAATCTTTATATCTGAGAGAAGTACTGTACTGGAGGAAGACAAGAACAGTACAACACGGGTTCATAGTTT